CTATCTGCCCCTCTTCCATTCGCTCTGCTATCCATTGGTTGCTGTCCATCTCGTCCCTCTTCTGCTTGCAATGGTCACAAAGCACTGATCCTTGTATGTCATTACACACCACCCCCTCCAACCCGTCCATAAACGCGCTAAGCACCGTTCGCCGACACCCCTTAGTGCTTAGAAACTCCCACATCGCTGCGCTTTCTGCTCCTACCTGTGCCTGTACTTTAGCGTCTGCCGACCTTGCCGCCTCCTATCCGCTAAGTACTACCTATAACTACACCACCTCTCCTGCTACTTGGCCGCCCTTCCCTGTCTCCTGCACAAAATCTACCAGCCTACACGGCCAGTTTACATGCACCACCCTTACAATCCCTAGTATATCAACACTCCTCCCTAGTCCGGTCGTTGTTACAATCCATCGTGTATACCGCAACCCTTCTATACCATTGCTCTTCTCTTTATCCGCCCTGTCGCCTAGCTCCCGACATCTTGCCTACATCTTTAGTACTTTCTCGCGCTCCCTTGGTGCTATTATGCCGTGGAGTGCCTTGCACCCTAACGCATCTGCCAGTGCATCTCTATACCTTCGCCAACGGCAATATACCACTCCCTTTTCTTCTGCCTTCATGCACGAATCCATCCCCTTTACTACCTTTACTACCCGTTCTAGAAACTCTGGCTCTGTCCTAGCCTTGGCGATTTCTACCGTATACTAGCAGTTTGCCTTTTCTGTCTAGTCACGCACTAAAGTTATGTTTTCAGCAAGCGCTACTTGCTAAAAGCATGTTTTCACTAGTAATAGCAGCATCGCTATAAGCCATACTACCGGCTTTCCAAACTAGTATACACTCACCACGCTTTAGAGTCGTGTCCAGTATCGAACATCCGTCATAATTGTGTAACACTTGTCTACAAACACCCGCTATAGCTGATTAGCCTTAACTAGCCTATCTGCATACAACGTAAACTCTATCCTACTTACTACGTCTGCGCTAACTACTACTAGTCAAGCCTATATTGCCCTTCTATCGCTTATCCTAGGCACAAACCGGACGCAGTCGATCCCTATCACTTAGGCACGCTGCACCAAGTCGTCCATTAACGCCACAAATGGCACTACCACCACGCTTATCCCTATGTCTGCAAACACCGCTGCTAGAAAGAAAAGTGTGCTCTTGCCTGCTTTTGTTAGCAGCACGCAGATTCCCGTCTTTCCTTGTCCAAGCCTAAGCACCATCTCTATGCTTATATGTTAGGTTTCGCTTTTCCACCAGGCCCCTAGCCTAAACAGCTTCTGCAACCCAGCCACCATCTCTTCTTGTTGTCTCTTTAACACTATGCCAGCATCGGCGGCTCTTTGCTGTCGCTTTCTCTGTGGTAGCTTTGGACGTTCTTGACTCTTGCTTGTTAAAGCCTGCTTGTCGTCCGCAAAATGCACGGTATTGCGTTTTCTTTTGTTGTTGCGGCTGCTGTCTGTTTTTTCTCCACTCTTGTAAAGCACATTGCCTTCCTCTGCGTTATCTTTGTGTAGCCTCTTGCTGTTTTCTGCATCTAGCGGGTTTTTTTCTTTTGCTAGCACTGTTTGCAAGTTGCCTGTTAGAGCCGCCTTTTGCTGCAGTGTTGCGTTGGCTGCATCTAGTAAGGTTTTTTCTTTGCTTGCAAGAGCTGCTTTTTGCTGCGGTGTTGCGTTGGCTGTATTCACTATCCAGTATTTCGTTAATGGGCCATTACTCTATGTTTAAAGCTGCACGAAAGAAAACCGTTGTTCGCTTCCTTGGTGATTTTTGCAGCCTAGTGACGGTCGATTTGTTTATGCAGTTTGCTAAAGAACCGGCATTGTGTACAAGAAAACCCTGTGTACACTGGCAGTCCATTAATCGCCTCCTCTCCATCCTTAGGAGTCGGTCCGCCAATAACTAGGTTTAGTCCTGTCAAACGTCGAAACTTGTGAATTAATTGCTTGAGCATTGTCCCTCTTATACGGTGTCGTTGAAAGTGTCGCTTTATCCCGTTACCGGGCGGAATTCCTATTCGACATTTTCGGCAGATCAATATTTGGTATTGTTGGTTAAGATAAATCCATTCGTTAACGTCTGTGTTGTCTGTACTTAAGTTGTTCATTTTTGTCTTTTTTATATATGGTTTCTTGTCTTGTCTTGTTTTTTTTTTCCGATTTTTACTGTTGTTGTTCTTGCTTTTCTTTCCTTTTCTTTACCGCTTTTCTTGCTTGTTTATGTATACGAGTACCGAGTAGGCCGGTTGTGCATCTATTTTTAGTAAGAAAAGCACAGACCACAATATTTTTAATGGGTTGCATAGCTGTTAACCAATCAAATTCTTATATTTAGTAAGAAAAGCACAGAGTGTATTCAGTGAGATTCTGTATTCAATAAGAAAAGCACAGACTGTATTTAGTAAGAAAATGACAGAGTGTATTTAGTAAAAAAAGCACCGACTGTATTCAGTAAGAAAAGCACAAAGTGTATTCAGTGAGAAAATCACAGGGTGTATTCAGTGAGAAAAGCACAGACTGTATTCAGTGAGATTCTGTATTCAGTGAGAAAAGCATAGACCACCATATTTTTAATGGGTCGCGCAGCTGCCGGCCAATCACATTCTTGTATTCAGTAAGAAAATCACAGGGTGTATTTAGTAAGAAAAGCACAGACTGTATTCAGTGAGAAAAGCACAGACTGTATTCAGTGAGAAAAGCACAGACTGTATTCAGTGAGATTCTGTATTCAGTGAGAAAAGCATATACACTGAGCATGCCAGACGGAAGACAGTTATGTCTCTTCGACGTTGTTTGCGCATTAAGCGGCAGGGCCGCACCCTTTCGGTGTTTGAATATTTATTCAATCCACGCAACATCCGACGAAAAGACCGGATTTTTTGATCTTTCCTCAAACTGAAGGAAAGATGAAATGCCTTGTGGAAAGATTAAAGTGCATTCCATCGCGCATGTCTCATTTTTACTGGCTTCAAGGCAGCTCGGTGCCCCCTTCCCATCCCATGGGGAGAGACTGCGCAGTGCCATGTCACGTGGCGATTACATCAGCACCTCCCAGTCAGTGCCTCCTTCCCATTGTGGATTTCCCCGAGGTCACCTGACTTGACCTCGGCCGCCGAAATTACTAGATAAGACGAAGCCCTGATCTGCGCGCATACTGCGCACAGTCTGGTCTTCAAGGAGTCAACCACCGAACGAAATACCATCACTAGATCTTCTGAAGGCCTTAGAGCTTACTACGATACGTGCAACTGGTCCGGACGAATATCCCACAAGGATTACCGTACGGGTCTTACACTGGTGATCACGCAGAACGTGCGTGACAGACTAGTGGTGCACGGAGTAGAAGCCACACCATCCCATGGGGAGAGACTCCGCGTGGCCATGTCACGTGAAAATTACATCAGCACCTCCCAGTCAGTGCCTCCTTCCCATCCCATGGGGAGAGACTGCGCAGTGCCATGTTACGTGCCGATTACATAATTAATTCATGCTCGGTGCCTCCTTCCCATCCTATAAGGAGAGAGTAGTGCATGCAGTCAGTGCCTCGCTGCCATCCCATAGGGAGAGAGCGTTAGTTTAGTGTAAAGCATGCAGTCAGGAACACACTGCTTACCTTTTATTTTATTTTATTTAAAAAGGAAATCAAAGCATTCAAAAGTCAGTGCCTCGCCGCTATCTAACTAAACGTTCTTGCAATCTGTAAAAACAACTCTATCGCCTCTGCCCTTGGCAGCGCTGCTAGCTTTGTAAACGCAACCTTTGGTGGAAACCCTCCTTGAATTAACGGCCAATCTCTGCCCTCCCCGCCGCCATACACCCAGCAAGGCTCGTCGTCTTCTTTGCAAAACCACGTTGTAGTCTTTTCCCCTCCCCACTTCTTCTCTGTCACCGCTTTCACATAGAATCCTAGGTTGGACAAGAACTCTTGTTTGAATATGCGCATTCCGTATAGCCCTGTCTTAATATGCTGCGCAGGCGTTAAGAACCCCCTATTCTCAAACAAGTAGGTCATGCAGAAGCTCCTCTTAAATGCAAGCCTTGATTCTGGGCTGTCCGTCCAGCTGCCGTCTATTGCCCGCTGTTGCCTTTCTGCAATCTCCTCTTTTGTTACGCCTTTTTTAGGCAGAAACAGGTTCCCTCCGTCGTGGGTAAAGAGGATGTTTGACTGGAACGTTTTGTGTCTGCCTGTCCATTCCGTCATAAAGGTTTCATAGGTCTTTGTATACTCTACCTCTGCATTTTTTGCTTCTCTAAGCAAGTACACGCAGGGCCACCATCGGATTCGCCGTCTTTTATTCGAGCCTTTTTGGTCTGCTTCCGTGTATAAGAAGCTGCTTGTTGTCGGCGACGGCAGCAGCCAATGCGTTAGCATAAACAGTCGTAGCAGCACCGTATAAAACGACGCAAATTGGCACGCCCCTCCAAGCTCGTTTATCATCGCCAAAATCCGCCGCACCATGCCGCGGTAAGGCAGATTGTCCCAGCCCCTTTTCTTAGCACTGCTGCCGTCATCCAAGACATTAAACAAAAGGTCGGCTCTCTCCCGCCCAGACCTCTCTCCACGCACTCCCTTCATTAAGGCCGGCCCAGATGGCATGTCGCCTGTATTCTCCTGGTCACAGAACAGGTCTGCCATGCCCGCCCAACAAAATGCTGGTGGGTTGTCGGCGGGGTGTTTAAGTCGCGCCTTTGCCGTTAGTTCTGGGCAGCGCTTGTCCGAGGTAAGCGTTGCTGCCCACAGGTCTAGGTTAAACCGCCGCAGCACTTGCGCAGCAAGCATGCCGTACTATAGTCGCCTTGTCGACGCCCGCGTAGTCTTGTCTTTCACAGCCTATACCACGTTTGTATACAGGTAGCGGGCTGTATCTAACGCTTGCAGTGTTTGGTCTAGCACGCTCCCTGCTACGCCGCCCCGCTTGTAGGTAGCCGCCCCGCGAAAAAGCCTTATGCGCCGCACCGTCGCCGCTACGTCTGCATTAAGAGTCAAAGTCGCCTAGTCTAGCTTCCCTGGTTGCCACCACGCAAAGCCATAGCGCTTAATAGACACCATTAGCCCTAGCCTGGCCGATTGCTTAATCTCCTCGTCTACCTCTTCTTCCACGTCTAAACCATCGTGCCCTATGCTGTCTGTGTTGCTGTCGCTGTTTGCGTCCTCTGCTGGCAGCGCGTCGAGACGGGAATGCATAACTGCCGATGTCTCGCTAGGGTTGAAGTTGCTGTCGTCCTTGCTGTTCTGCGCATAGTCCTTTAGCGGCTCTGCTTCGCTGTCGTCTAACAAGGCCTCGTCCACCGCAATCGCCCGGCTCTTCTTCTTGGCTGCCCGCACCCACACGTTGCCGAACAGCAGCTGCGCGCCAAAGACGGCGTTCGTGCTATAGCTGTATCGTAGCAGGCGAAGCATAATAAGCATTACAGCCGTCTCGTCAAAGCTGTACGTTTCTCCGGCACGCTGTCGCACTCGCTTAAAGGCTAGGCAGTGTCGGTTAATCTGCTTGTGCAAGAAGGCATAGATGTCATGCCCAGGCACCACCAGCCACGAGTACGCAACCTTGCCGCCCTCTTCTGTTGGTGGCGCTAGCACTACCCGCTGGCGCATTGTTCGGAATAGCGAGAGACTTATACGGTGCTCTTGCCGCACGCCGTAGGAGCGTGTTCGCAGATTCTCTACCGCCTCGCATGCCCTCTTCTTGCCCCGCTCGTACGCGGTGGTGGCCGTCTTAGCCGATTGCTTGTTTAAGACCCTGCTAGCGCCGCTAAGCGCTCCCATGCCCGTGAGGTACAAGCTATCGAATGCCAGCGTCTCTATGTTCTCGCCCTGTAGTGCGTAGATCTTTTGTGCGTCAAACGGTGCTTTAGAGGCGTTGTAGCACTGTGTATACACAAGCCCAAGACGCCTGTCGGCGCCGTTCGGCGCAGCCTCCAAAGTCAATGCCCCGGCGTCTCTCGTGCCGGCCCACAGGTAGGTACACGTTGTCGGAGGGCGCGAAGGTGCCGCCCCTGCTGCATAATCACCCGCTGTGCGGCCCCTCTCTACTAGGCGCTGTCGCTCTGCGGCGTCCATCTTCTGCCTCGCTCTATTCTGCCGGACGCTTTTACCCGACGGCGAGAGCGACTTAAGGAGCACGTTGTACCGCCTAGCAAACGATTGCAAGCAGCAGCTCCGATAGAGTAGCGTGTGTGGGCACTCGCCTTGCCATGTATCCTGCTTTGCCACGTCGACGAAGACGCGGGCTGGGTTAAGGGCAGCATCGTTGAATGTCTTCTCCTAGCAAGACTTGAATGTGTCTGCTACCTTGCTAAACGTAGTGTCTCGCTTAGCCGACAGGTCTTGGACACCACTGGCAGCAGCGGTCGATCGCATAAACATGCACTTAATATTCTTTGCAGCAAAGTAAAAACCAAAGTCGGCAAAGCCGTCAAGCGCCGCGTTGCAGGCTACACGACGTCGGAGCTCCCTTGCAAGCGCCGGTAGCATCCAAGACTGCAAGAACCTTGTTATTATCTGCCGCGGTGTGTAGTCGTTCTCCTCTGTGTCCTTGCAACCATGCAAAACACTTGGTATCTTCCGCTCCTCTACCTTAGCGTACGCGGCCATCCGCGCCAGCTTGTAGGATAACGGCCAGTGTTCTAGCATGTTGGCGTCGTACTTGTACGCTGCTTGGACCGATGGAAAGAACACCTGGTTAAACCACTGCTCTAGCTGTTCACGGCTTAGCATCGTCCTGGCTAGCGGGCGCCTTCCTGCCTGTGTGCCCTTCTTATATAGCCGTGGGAAGTATACGTATACCCGCATGTTATCCCAGCCTTCCAGGTCCGCAAACGCCATATGCGGCACGTGGTAGAGCGGCGCCTGCCTTGATAGCGGGGCCGTTGCCCCGTTACCGCGGCTTGGCACAGAGACTGTAAGGTGCACATTTTTTGTTATGTTGAAGTCGGGGTACCCTATAACAAAGGCCTTAAGGCTAACTCGGCAGAACGACAGGTCGTCTGCGAAGCCAGTGATACTATCAATGTCAAACGATGTTCTTGTCGTCTCGCCTTCCATACAGTCGTCGCGGCCGCTGTAGTGCGCTGCCATGCACAAGGATGGTGGTGGTTTTGACCTATGGCTGCTCTTGCCCTTAAACATACGCTGCATGCTGCCCTCTAGGTCTTCCTCGCATAGGCTGAATGGCGGTTGCGTGCATGACAGCACGTCTGGCGCATGGTTAGATCTACCAACGCCGCCGCTAAGCACGTTGGCAATGTCGGCAAGGCTGTAACATCTACTGTCTGCTGCGTTGCCTTTATGCCCTTCTGTATGCTCTTTGTCTGCTGCATCGTGATCGGTTTGTGGGCATGCAAGCGTGCCGCGGAACCAGGAGATAATCGCGTCCGCGACAATCTGTTGTGGTGTCCTCTCCTCGTCTTCTGTGGTAGTCTCTGCGTCTGCGCTGCCAGGCACGTCCTCGGTCGCAGAGTCCTCTGCCAGGCTTATGTTGGCTAGCCCGTCTTCCCATGCGGTCCCTCCATCTGTACCCGCTGTGCCAGGCAAAGTCCCTGCTATATCGTCAATGGCGTCGTCTTCCCATACGCCCTGCTCTGCGCCGGTGTCGTCTTCCCATACGCCCTGCTCTGCGCCGGTATCGTCTTCCCATGCATCTTTACTGTTTGTGTGTAAGCCGCTAGGCAGAGCCTCTGCCGTGTTAGTTATGGCAGAGGCGGGTGTCTGGTGTAGAGTTGCCGGCTGTTGGCTTGCGGCATGCGTGGCCTGTGCGTCTTTCTTTCGCATATAGTACCTCTGGCTATTCTTCCGCCCTGCAGCTTTTCGCTCCTCGCTAGTATTGTATATTGTCCTCGCTTTCCTTGCTCCGCCGCGTCCGGTATGCTTTTTTGTTGCGTTTGTTGCTGTCTCTGGTGTTGCTGACTGCTCCCTTCTCACATGTAGCTCGAGAAAGCTGCGCGTTAGGTGAAGGACTTCCCCGTCGTTCTCTTGTACTGGGGGCAAGCCGACGATTGGGCTGGATACGTTGACTGTCGGTAGCGATGGCGACTTGGAGGTGGCAACGCTTGCAGAGCGGGACGGTATGCGTACTTGTAGGCGTTGGCTTATAACGGATATAGCTCTTGCCCGCGACGGCGTAATAAGATTGGCTGCCTCGTTAGCGACCGCTGGCAACGTATTGTAGTCCTCCTCAATGCTTGGCAGCACGTCGTCTTTATCGGTGGATTCTGCGTCTTGTGGCGCCTAAATTAAGTTTTGTTAGCTTTTTGCTAATAATTAGCCCTGTCTTTGCACGTTTTGCTTACTTTTGCTACCTTGCCCTGTTCTTGTGCTTTAGTCGCCCTGCTTTTTCGCTTTCTAGCTGCTGCAGCCTCCTTTCGCTCCTCTTCTGTCTGGTACTTTTGCCACTCGCCTGCTTGCCTTCCTCTGTTGTTGCGCTTTAAAGCCGTCTGGCTTACAGGCTGGGATGACATTGTGCTAGCTGCTTAGTTATGCTCTTGTGTGTGACGGTTAATAGTGCTTCTTTGCTTGTTAAGTGTCCTTTTAGTTAGCAGACGATGAATAGGGAGAGACTGCCTAATCAGTCACGTGTATGATAAGATACGAAATACCGTAAATTTATGCTCGGTGCCCCTTTACATCCTACAAGGAGAGACTGCACGGCCTAGTCAGTGTCTGCCTTACATCCTATGGGCAGTTAAAGTGCAGGCTGCGTTAAGTGCAATAACGTGATCAACCCTTACTCAGTGTCTCCCTCCCATCCCATGGGGAGACTCTACGCATGCAGTGTCACGTGCAGCTAGCGTCACGTGCAGTATTAAATAAGCAACTTCTGCTCGGTGCCTCCTTCGCATCCCATGGGGAGGAGACTGCGCAGTGCCATGTCACGTGGCGATTACATAATTAATTCACGCTCGGTGCCTCCTTCCCATCCTATAGGGCGAGAAGGGCCGGTCGTAAGTCAGTGCCTCGCTCCCATCCCATGGGGAGCCAGCGCCTGCTTACAGGCCCACATTAAAATATTTTAGTAGCCAATTAAAGCAAAGCTTTCAAACGTGACATGGCCCACTAATAAATCCCACTTTAAAAATCGTATAGCCAATGAAAACAAATCTTTCAAACGTGACAGGCCCACCTGCACCTAATTAGCCAATCACAGCAACGCTTTGATCAATGAGAATTATTTTTAGGCCCACCTGCACCTAACCAGCCAATTAGAGCAACGCTTTGATCGATAAGATTTTTTTACGTTAACTAGCAACCGTTATTAATTTATAACAACGTAACAAAACTAGATATAAAAAAAAGCGTAGAGGTTTTAGAATCCTTGATTTTAGCTGCATTTTATGTATATATAAAATCCCCCTTTTTTTTCTCGAAAAGTAGCTAACCCTAGCTGACTTTTTACCGGAGATATAGCTAAATTAGTTTTATTCTTAAGGTTTTTATATATTCTTATTAGCCTTTTATTATTATTGTATTATTAATCTTTTTTAAATACGTTTCTAGTTAATTAGCTTATTATAATATTTTATACTATAAAACTTATCTTTATAATTAAAGTATTTAAACTAGCTAGGTTTTATTCTTATTTCTTTTAAGTTACTTTAAATTCTTTAGCTTTTACCTTTTTTATTACTGCTAAATAAAGGGTAAGTATAGCCTTTTATACGTTGCTAAGCAAGGTTAAACTAGGTTATTACTATTATTATTTTCTTAATAAAGCTAACTAAGAGTTAAATCTTTAAGTTAGCCTTTATCTTTAAAAAGAAATTTATTAAGGCTTTTTAAGTAAAGTTATTAAGTTAAAGATTTAGTTTCTTAAATTTCTTTATAGCTTAATTAAAGGCTACCTTTACGTTTAAATATTTATAAGCTAGTTTTACTTTAGCCTTAGTTTTATTAATTATTCTATAAATAGCTAAGTAGTTATAACCCCTTTTTTATATAGTAATGCTTTAGCCTTTATTAAGCATTCTTACTAGTATATTATTATATAGCTAAGTCTTATATTATTTATTTTAAATATAATATTAAAAAGAGTTAGCTTTTTTAAAAAGTTAGTAAAAGATTTTTTGCTTATTTTAGTAAGTTAAAATATTTTAAAGACTAAAGCTTTTATCTCTTTTAACTTAAACGTTTTAAAAAACTTAGTTAAAAATACTTCTTTTAATATATTGTATATTAATTTTATAGCTTTTATAACTTAGGTTATATACTATAACTAAGCAGCTTTTTATAGCTTATTTATAAAAAGAGCTTTTTAAATTAAATTATAGTTTGCCTTTTAAGTATAACTAGCTAGTATAGCTTAAGCCTTACGGATTTTAATATAGTCTTTAACTTTACTTATTTTGTTAAAGGTAAGATTAAAAGTTATGTTAACTTTACTTAGTTTTAATAATAAAAAGGGTAGTATAAAGGATTAGTTAAGTTTTTATTAGTTTTTATACTTTTACTAGTTTTTATTCTTTTTTTTTAAGTATTCCTCTTTTCTTAGTTATAACGTATTTAAAAAAGCTAAGTAAATTTTTTTATTAAGGTTTAAAATGTTAAAGAAAATATAAAAAGAAAGGTTTAAGTTAAAGTAGACTAAAGAAAGTCATACTAAAGTTTAAAAGCCTTTTTTATTAAAGCTAAAGTTAAAAGTACTAATATAGCTTAACAGCTTTATACTATTTAACAAGGTTACTTTTTAAAAAAATATAAAGGTTAAATTTTTTTTATATAAAAAAGCCTTTAGTCTTAGTTTTAAGTTAGCTTTTTAAGGTTTTCTTATTTTTATTTTATTATTTTATTATTTAATAAAAAGAAAAGAAAAGAAAAAGGGAAAAAAGGATAAGTTTAAGTTTTACTCTTTTTTAATAAAACTTAAGTAAAACTTTATCTTTAAATCTTAAAAAGATTATACTTTCCTTTTAATTAGTCTTTTTTTAAAGAAGTATTAGTTAATATAAAGATAGCTATCTTTAACTTAGTCCTTATTTTAAGGCGTAAGTAGTACTTTTTAGTTTCATTTAAATCCGTTTAGTTAGTAAAAGTTAATTCGTTATTATACTTTTACTTATCCCCTTTAATTAAGTAAAAGGTTATAAAAAAGCGTATTATATAAAGTTAAGAATCCGTCTATCCGTTTATAAATTAAAGTCTAGTTTTATATCTAAGATAGTAGATTAAGTAAGGTTGGGCAGGGTATTAGCTTGCTCTTATAGTAGAAGGTTAAGGGTGCTAGGCGGGTGCTTTAGTTACCGCTAAATCTGGTCTCCTCTTCTTTTCTTAGGCCTGCCGCTTTTAGTTTGTTATTCTTAAGGCTAGCTTATTTGTCTTATCGACCTCCGTAACAGGAGGTATGGTGATATCCGGATGTATCTATAAAAAGGTCTCGTGCAGGGGTGGGTTTAATAAGGTTGTATTTCGCTAGCTTTTCTAACAATAATTATCGCCACTAGGGAGGAGTAATATCTTGCTCCCTGTGCCCCGCCTCCTAGGTTACGTGCGCCACCCCTGCTCATCACTCCTTACGGAGGTCCGTAGGCCACTCGGATACAAACAGCACGGAAATGTGCTGTTTACCGTCCCCGAACACTACCGGAGGTAGGAGTTTAGAGGACCCTATTAATCAAGTAGGGTAAAGGGCTTGCTCCACACAATTTAGGATCTTACAGTGCGAGTGCGAGTATGATTGTACGTGTACTCGTACGAGTATCGTACGAGAGCTTTGGGTATTAGTGTGGCAACGTTGTTCTGCTGCTACCTTGGGACAGAGTCCAAGAAAAAAGAAAAGAAAAATAAAGAAAAATAAAGAAAACTTACCCGCCTAGCAGCTGCTACTGTCAAACTTGTAACTGGCAGTAAGCCTCTTAGCTTAGCCCGTGCAATGTTTACCCGTGCCACGTTTAATTTGCTTTAAAGACGCGAATTGCACGCGACTTTACATTAAGTATTATTTTCCCAACCGTGCGTACTGCGGGGTGGCGTTTGATAGGTTGGTTGTATTTCCTTTCTTTTTATATATTGCTGTGGTGAGATAGACGAATCCTTCGATGTAGAGGAGCAGCATAATTCGTCACTTTAAGGCGTTTGGGTGTAGACTTAAGCAGCAGGTTAAATGATAAGGATATATATGTAGATCTTAGCAGTATGTGTTCCGAGAAATATTACTCCGTACGTGCAGAGCTATCCCTGAACATCAGCCCGCCCCCCCCGACGCAACGTCTTTGCGAGAAACCCCAGTCGTCCGCAGAACAAGGTCTCCGATCGTCGCTGGCGTCGCCGCTATAACAAGGCATATTTATCAGCCGGCAAATTGCTTATAGTCTGTAAGTCTGTACTTTGTACCCACCTGTTAGAACGAAAAACATGCGGGCAGGCTGATCGGTTCTGTTGTCCCAGCCGTGAATGGTGCCGCGCTGGACACATGTATCTCCAGCCCTGAGCGTGACTTCGACTCCGTCGTCCAAGCAGCTGTTCACAGACCATTAGTGCTATGCTGCAGTCAGACTTGCCGGGGAACCGTACCAGACAAGCTCGCCCTTAACAAGGATTCCAAAGTCCAAGGATTCCGTGCGATGAAACATCTGCCAGAAGAATCAGCACGGCCACTGACGCATCAGCGGATCCAGACCTACCGTTTTCTTGTTGGGCTTGAAGTCGACGGTGCGCAGAACTATGCCCTCCTGATTCACGAGGTCTGTAGTCCGCTGCAGGATAGGATCATCCCAGACGTCGTTGGACACGGGAAATTTGTGTGTTTCGTACAGGACACCAAGATTAACGTCGTTCGTAGGCGTGGGCATCACCGGAACAGGGCCATCAGCTACGACAATGGCCCTGCCATTTTTGTCATGGCCGGTGACGACACGGCGAGGGTGTGGGAATAGAGACATTGGTGGCAAACGTTGGAAGTAGAAGCTGGAGAATTTGGGACGATGAGAGTAAATGAGCAACGGTCCAGATTTAACCAGCCGCCAAGAGCAGGAATACGTTTATCTAATCCTTATCAGCCCACACGGCTGGCCGGTTTACCCGTTAGCATTTATTCGCCGTGTGGGACCGGCTGAAGCAGGCTGTTCCGTGTCTTGAAGCTTCTTTTCATGTTATATGACGTAGGGTACAGAGCAACGGCTGGTCGTTTGCTAATAAGTGTGTTTTCCCTTGTCAGCTGTTGAAATGTCTGTAGGCCGTTACAGGATCCTAGTAAGAGGGTCCCGTGCAGACTCTTGCGCGCTCGCTCCCTTACGCTCACAGACTTTTGCCTCCTTTACGCAGCCTTCGCCTCCCAGTGCAAACTCTACACAGTTTCGCTACCTTATCCTTTAGAATATAAATTAAAGAGAAGCCTTAAGAATCTATTCTAGCGAGAGAGATTTTCCTCTTCTTTAGTTTAATGCAAATATCATTAAAATAATCACTTTCCTTAAGCTGACATTGGTATTGGCTTAGATACGAGCCTATTCTGTGGAAAAGGAAAAATGTACGAAATACTCTGTCCTTCTTCCTAAATCTTATACGTGTTCCCGCCTTAATGCCGTAGGTCTTAGTTGCCTTAGTAAAATATTCGGAACGTTTTAGATATAAGCCTGTAATAATTATAGCTCTGTATAACGGTTAATTAAAGCACTTATAGTGGGGCTAACGTGCGCGTGAAAATCTATGCGGCGAGGGATATTCTTAAAAAGGACTCCTTTCTTTTTAACCCACTGTACGGTTTAGCGTAGGCCTGTAAGATACCGTAAACAAACTAGCAGCCGCTAATCTTTTCTTAACAGCGTAATTAGCTGATTGTAGGGTGGGCCGTAGTTATATAACCGTGCCACGCCCCACTTTAATTGGAACACGCATAACGTGCACCAACTAAAGTTGGTGCTACCCACCCTACCTAATCAACATATTCAATTATTACCACCTTTACCTTTAACCTCTTCTAAGAAGCCGACCAACCTTGCTAGATTTACAAATATATAATGGCTGTAAAGCCCTGTTTAGCCTTTTAAATCTAGCTATTTTAGCGGCTAGATTGTAGTACTTTTTAGTGCGCTTTTCTTGCCTTTTGTTAGCTACCTTAATAAGCAATTATACTTTTAACTTTTTTGCTAGTTTTCTTTGCATAACTATTTCTTATGCCTTTGCAACTATTAAAATACCTTTAGATTTTAAAGGTATATTAGTAGTAGCCTTTATATGTCTTTTAGACTCTTTAGCTAGTTTAGTTTTTTTTAAGTCTTTTTTTATTTATACTAATTTAGCTGCTAAGGTTAAAGTTTTTTTTATAAAGTAAAAGATATTATTTAAAAACTTTAGATTAAAGTTGCTAATCTTTTTAAGTATATCTTTAAGTTAATTAGCTACGCTATTAAATTAGCCTATTATAATTAGTATATTAAAAGAAAGGAGTACAAAAGGTTAGTAGCTAGTAGTAATAGTATATAATATGCTTCTTATTATTTAAGTATATTAAGTATTAGCTTTAAATTAAAAGAGTAAATACTAGTCTTTTAAAAAGTATACTAAATTAATAAAGACTTTATTACTTGTATATATTTTTTATATAGCTAAAAAAGTTTAGCTTTAAAAAGCTAGTTAAACTATTTTATACTATTATATTTAAAGCTTTTATATAATAATACTTTAATAGCTAAAAAAATTATAATATTAAGTAGCTATAATATATATATAAGGTATAATAGTATTTTAAAAGTAATAATATTATAGTCTTTATAGTATTAAATAAATTATTTAGTATAGTAAGAGCCATAACTATTTAGTATTAATAGCCTTTTATACTTAATAGTATACTTTTTTATATATAGCTTAAAGTGCTTAATTTACGAAAAACTAAGCTTATTATTAGTATACTTAGTTTTAGTAAAGTAAATTATTATATTTAGCTATAGTAAAAAGATATTATACTACTAGCTTATATACTACTTACTTAATAAAATTAAAAAAGTAAAAGTATATTTACTCTTTACTGAAATAGCTTTAATAGCTATAGTAAACTTTTTATTTTCTTGTAGTCTTAAATACTACTTTTAGTTTTTTTAAGTAACTATAAGCTAATCTTTACTAATACTAATTTAAAAGTTTATTTTATTTATATTTTATATATTTAATAAAATAATACCTTAGTCTTATATAACGTTTAATAGCTTTTTAAAGTATTCTTTTATAATAAAAATATTCTTTTAAACTTAGCGCTTTAAATCTAAGGTCTTTTGATAGTAAACCTTATACTTATACTAAAATATAAAGCAAGTAGTTTAGTTATAGCTTATTAGTTTAAATACTATATCTTTAAGACGTTTATAAAGCAATAAATTTACTACGTTTATAATAAACTCCTACTATATAGTAAGGTTTATACCTTCTAGCTTATTAATATACTAATATATAGCTACCTCTTCTAAAACCGTAAGCTAACCGTACGTTGCTAGCCGCCCTTTTTAACTATTAATGCTACAAAGTCGGCTATAAAGCACGCTAAATAAAACTTTGAATTGTTTTGCAACAAAACGTATAAAGGACTTAAGAGTTATCGTATAGTACTAAACAGCGCCCTTTAGACGGGATTCTGCAATTTTTTATCCATATCGCGTTTCGTTAATAAAGTAGGGATTTTAGAAGCCTGGTGATGCCATTGTTAATCAGGTAGGGTGGGTGATTAGGTAGGGTGGGTAGCACCAACTTTAGTTGGTGCACGTTACGCGTGTTCTAATTAAAGTGGGGCGTGGCACGGTTATAGATTTCTGTTTATATACTCTGTAAAGACGGGTGTTATTCCCGTTTTATTCCTTGCGTACTATATATTATAAATAGCGGTTGTCTCGCTGCTTGCTGGGTTACAACATGCCAGTCGTCCACTGTATTTAAGCGAAGAGCTTGATATCGTGTAGGATTTCGCTGGCCGGATCTGCTGCCGTCGTTCTGTCCAACTTGAAGCCTAGACAGCCGTTCCAATCCCAGGAGTATAAATGCCGGCCCCTAAAGTCAGAAATCATCCCGAGCTACCCTTAGCATTATCAAATCACACGTGCTATATTTGCAAGCGTGTTTACGAGCGGCTAGACCACCTTACCCGCCACCTGAGATCCCATGAAAACGCTAGGCCATACCGGTGCACACGATGCCCGAAAAACTTCAACAGAGCGTATGCCCCCCCTCCCAAAGAGCTCCTGCATCGCGAGCATGTGTTAACATTGTCGTTGATGCAGTGACCTTGCCAGTCGGCACGAGACGACCCATGATCGTGAGGACGGAAAATCAAGACCGCCTATCAGACGGACGGACCGAGCCACGCAGGCATGCGAAGCATGTGCGACTGCGAAAGCAAAATGCGAGGACCAAAAACCGTGTAGCAGATGTCGGTCGAAAAAATTAGTCTGTCAGAACGCCGCGGTCTATCCGTACAGGATCCGTGCTGAAGGGTCGCTGTCTAGGGAGGATGGAACCACCATGGTTAACCAAGCCACAACTAGCCCAACCCCCCAAGCCGACTTCACCTCTGACAGTGGCACGGCCCTTTCCGGCCTCGACAGTAGCCTGCTACAAAGCCAGATAGCGGACCAGATTCTCTTAAACGAGGCTACTTTTGGAGAAGTGGCGTCGCTGGACGAGCTGTGCTTCAATCCGATGGACACCCTCTTCCAGGATATTGACTTCTACAGGCCGCTGGATCTCGATTTCGATGACCTTGGTATCCCACCGCTGGACTTCCCGAATCCTACTTCCTGGGACCCGTCCCGTGGCTATGCTGCATTCCAGCGCTCGCCATGGCTCTGCGAGGCCAAGCAGGAGAAGCCTACACTGCCGGTAAAGGAAGAGTTGTGTACGGCTCATTTCTCTCTGTTAGGCAACATTACAGAGCATGTGCCACAAAGGTTTAGACTAAGTGCACATCAAAGAGATCGAATCTTTTCCATCGTCCTGTCCCAAAATAAGGACCCCACGCGAGTGCCGGCCTTTCCAGCACTCGACTCGCTAAATTGCCTGTTGCAAGCACACTTCACCCAAGATGACCACCGACTGGAGAGCTGGATCCATGCCCCGTCGTTCCATCCGGATGCCACTGCGCCCGAGCTAGTGGCTGCTGTCATTTCAAGTGGTGCAACCTTTACTGCGGTGCCTACCATATGGCAGTTCGGCCTGGCTATGCAGGAAATTGTCCGAGTAAAAATATTCAGCGGGGTAAGCAACCATAACCAGCGACAGCTTCCGGTCCTACAGTGCTGATCAACACAGTTCGAGGAGAGCAATGCCCATACCAGAGACCTGAAGGCACTGCAGGCATTCATGATGTGTTTAGACGTCGGCATGTGGAGCGGCCGCAGAGATAAGGTGGGGGTGGCAGACAGCTTCTGTCAGCTTATATTGACTGTGGGTCGTTATGCGAACAAAACAAAAAGCAAACAAGACAACGATGCTTACATAATACAAAACAGCTGTTACGACAGGCCGCCATGTTCTCGGCGCTGGCCGACTCTTCCGTCACTCTCCCACTTGACTCCGACCCTAGCGAGGTCGTCGAGGAAAAGTGGCAGCAATTCATAACCCATGAATCCTATAAAAGGTTAGATGCTCAATTCTCAGCATGTTTGAAAAAAACATATGCTGAACCTACTCCAGGCTTGCTCTCCATGTCTTCACGCACGATGTGCAGACATCCATCATCCTGCAGAAGAACCCTCTGATTACCTTCAACGAGCTGTCTTTTAGACTGCCCGCATCTAGGGACCTCTGGAGTGCGCCCACAGCAGATGCATGGCGCCAGCTATGCCTCTCTAAATCAAAACAGTCCCCCTCCGGTCCCATACCCCGTGTCTTCGAGGTCATGCACAACCTTGGCGTTCTCGACGAGCTGTGGCAATGCATCGATGTAGATCTCTGCTACTGGATTCTGCTGCACGGCTTCTGGGGGCAAATACACGCGTACCGAGAAAGCATCCGCTTCTATGCCACGGCGAGCACGGATGAGGGCATGCACTGTCTGTGGCTCAAATCGCAGCATCAGGAGCTGTACCACGGCCTCTGTGCTTTTTCCAGCGCGATAACTACCGCGGATTTGCAGAACCACAATGCAAATCTGTCCTTCATCCTCGACTTGTTCCTCATGGTTTTGCACGTGTCACTAAGCGAGCTGCAGCTGTTTGCAGGTATGGCCGGCGAGGAAGAGGCTCATCGAGCAGCAGCGATGCTGGAACACAGTTGGGTTAACACTGCCGAGGCGAGACACGCCGTATGGTACGCCGGACAAGTGTTTTTGCGGGCCACGAGACTTTCGCCGGCCAACTTAGATGGATTCAATGCTATCGCCGTGTATCTGGCCAGCTTGACCCTCTGGGCCTATGGGACGCTGCGCTGTGCAACACCGCATCAGACTGACGGAGCTAGACGACTCTTTCTTGCGGCTGGAAAATCCAATTTTGTGCTTCTCAATGGCGAGGAGACAAGAAACACAAAGGCCTTTTTGCATTTGAACAAGGGCATGCCCGCCTTGGTCACTTCAGAAGGAGCAGTCGAGCCACTGTCGAATCCGCCGGTGGCTTTGGCGATTGCCAGAAGAATCCTCCGGGATAACATTTCTGTGCGGTCAGAGCCTCTGCTGCCCTTAGTGGAAAGTCTGGATAACCTGTTGAGAGATCTCTAATGTTTTGTAAGGGAAATTCAGGATGATAATAAAATGAGAAGTGCTAACCGCACCATAAATTTTTGCTGTCCGCACTATAGGTACATACAGGTGGGGCCGCGCTTTTACCACCTTTAGACCCATAACTATTTAGCCAATAAAATCCTAGCAAAGACCTGCTTTTATATTAGAAAAGGCCTATAATTATAGCCTATAATTAAATTTATAAGCAGCTAATAAAATAGCCTTTTGTTGTTAATAAGACAAGTAATAGTAAGCTTTATCTTTACCCCTCTCTTTTATCGTTACTACGTTAAAACCTATAAAATAAATTAAATTTAGCTAATTAAAATATAGCTGCTTAAATGCTAAGCTAGTCTGCCTAGTTACGTCTTTTCCGTAGTTAAAGGCTGTATCCCCCCCTTGCATTATTATCCTCCGCTGCCTTCTTTGCTGCCTCCTTCGCTGCAAGCTTTTCAATTAAAGCGTACAATAGGCTAATTATAAGCCGGTAATTAATAAGAGGCTAATCCATAGTATAGCGCCTTTACGAAAGAGGGTACGACGTAGTTGTTGTAAACAAAAGTAAGTATAGAGAAATTTTTTTATTAAAGACGTTAAAATCAATTGGCAGAATACAGCGCTAGTCTATTCTTAGAGTAGTCCCGTGATTGGCCAATGAACGGTAAAAAGCGCGGCCCCACCTATATGTACCTATAGTGCGGATAGCAATAATTTATGGTGCGGTTCAATAAAATACGGTGTCATTTTTGATGCCAAGTAAAAGTTGCACAATGATCCGTCCCGTAAGAAAAATAAGCTGTTACCGCTTCATCCATGCTGCAGTATCCTCACTTCCGCTTAGAGGATCCATCATGTGAGAAAATACGTGACTAGTCAGACCAGGGACAGTGGCAATAGCCTCGTTAAAGACAAGATTAGCAGGCAACATCACGCCGGTCTTGTTGCCAATCTGGTTCCGAAGCAAGATGCTAAGAACGGAGTCGAAGCCGAGTTCGGTGAGAGGCGTGTCCCAGGCCGAAGATGGCACTTGTTGGCGGTTGGAGTAGCCGAGAACAACGGCGACCTCGTCTTGCATAAGGTCCAACAACGTGGCATGGCGCATCTCAATGGGGAGCTGGCCCAGCTGCCTCTGCCAGGCATAAATAGAATTTATGCATTCTTTAGCTGGAGGCGTCGACGGGGGAGTATCTACACGTACGTAGCCGTTCTGGATGTTCTGGCTATTCTGGCCGGTCTCGCCGTTGACCTTAGAGACCCCGCAGGAGAGTGTAGACGCCGGCGAGTCCAGCCAGTACCGGCGTCGCTGGAAGGGATAGACGGGCAAGTCCACGAAACAAGCACTGCTGCCACGGAAGACAGCCTCCCAGTTGTGGGGCTGGATACCGTGCACCCACAGCTGTCCAAGGGCTGTGAGCAGAGTATCCACCTCGTTCACTTTCTGCCTTGATGTGGCAATGGCGCCAGATACATAGTTGGTCAGCGGGGCCGAGGGGCCAATCTCGAGAAATGTGGCCACGCCCAGGTCGACAGATAGCGTCTGAACGGCATCAATAAAGCGGACAGGAGCCGTGACATGGCGAAGCCAGTAGTCGGCCGTCATGTCAGCTGCATCCACCAGCTGACCGGTAACGGTGGACACAAGGGGGATGAGAGTGGAAGCTGGGCCGGGTGACGGGGCGAGACGGCCAAGGGCAGAGCTCAGGTCAGACAGCACAGGCTCCATAAGCGGGGAGTGGAAAGCATGGCTGACTCTCAGCCGAGTGACCGGTCGACCCTGGGCAGCGAAGGCATCTTTGATGGCGAGTACAGTCCTGGTTGGGCCGGACACCACCACGGCGTCCTGGGCATTCACAGCGGCAATGACGGCGGTAGAGGCGTCTGCAGGCTGCACATCTCTCAGCGCCCTGGCGACCTCATCTTCCGTGGCCGCGATGCTAGCCATGGCTCCCCCTTCCGGCAGGGCAGCCATCAAAGTGCCGCGGGCGGAAATCAAGGCGACAGCATCGGTCAGGGAGAGGATGCCGGCAACATGGGCGGCCGCCACTTCGCCTAGGGAGTGACCAGCAACATAGTCGGGACGGATGCCGAGGGACTCGAGAAGGCGATACAGGGCCACCTCGAAGGCGAAGACGGCGGCTTGGGCAAAGTCGGCACGGTCTAGCAGCTGAGGCTCGGGAGAGCTGATCACGTCGGCCAGCGGCTGTTCGAGTCGGCCAGAAAACGCCTGCAGAACCTCGCGGAAGGACGTGTCGAACTGGGGGAAGCGGGCGGCCAATTCTCGACCCATTTCAGGCCGCTGACTGCCCTGGCCGGAGAAAAGGAAAGCCAGCCGTGATTGCGACCGCAACTGCGACCGTCCCATTGTGCCAATGCGAGCCCGTCCGGTGGCAACGCCAGAGTGCGGCCGGCCTGCAGCGAGGGCCAGCAATGCTGCGCGCCGCTCATCATTCGAAGCTGCTGTCACAGCGGCTCTATGGCCGAGGGCCGACCGCGTGGAGGCGAGGGACAGGGCCACGTCGAGGGCATGCAGGTCATTGTCAGCAGGGGTGTGCAGCGCCGCCAGCGTGCGGGCTTGTGCCTGCAGGGCTGCGTCGTCCGCGCCAGACAGGAGCCACGGAAAGGCGGTGGCAGGACACGAGGGCTGCTCTCTCTGCTGTTGCACGTGACTGACATTTGGTGCCTGTTCGAGTATCACGTGTGCATTGGTACCGCTGATGCCAAAAGAGGACACGGCTGTCCGCCGTGGACGGCCCCCGGCTGTCTGTGGCCAGGGCCGGGTCTCGGTGAGCAGCTCGACAGTGCCGCTGGTCCAATCCACGTGCGGCGTGGGCTTGGCGATGTGGATGGATGCCGGCACGACGCCATGTTGCATAGAGTACACCATCTTGACGATGCTGGCAATGCCGGCCGCAGCCTGAGTGTGACCAATGTTCGACTTGACTGAGCCGAGGAGCAGCGGTGGAGACGACGGGGGCCGGGCACCGTATGCCTGGAGCACCGCCTGCACCTCGATGGGATCGCCCAGCGACGTGGCCGTGCCGTGGCCGTCGAGCACGTCGACGTCTGCAGGCGATAGGGCAGCCCTGTCCAGGGCTTGGCGGATGACCTGCCGCTGTGCCGGGCCGCTAGGGGCAGTGAGGCCGTTCGCAGTGCCGCCCGAGTTGACGGCAGACGAGCGCACGAGGCCGAGCACGGGGTGGCCGTGCCGTTGGGCGTCAGACAGCCGCTCCAAGAGCACGAGGCCGACGCCCTCCGACCAGCCGGTTCCGCTGGCATCAGATGAATAGGAGCGGCAGCGTCCGTCAGTCGAGAGGCCGCGCTGTCGACTGAAAGCGACGAACTGTCGCGGCGTGGACATGACGGTCACGCCGCCGGCAATGACCAAACTGCTCTCGCCAGTCTGTAGGGAGGCGGCAGCGAGATGTATGGCTGTCAGGGACGAGGAGCAGGCGGCATCGATGGCCATAGACGGACCCTTGAGATCGAAGGAGTACGAGATGCGGCCGGCAGCGACGCTGGGAGATGCACCAATGTCGAGATGGGCCTCGGCCTCATGGCCCTGGCCGGATCCCGATCCATGGCCGAAGCGGCTGGCGTAGTCGCTGTAGATCATGCCTACAAAGACACCCGTGTCCGTGCCGCGCAGAGACGAGGGGGCGATGCGCGCGCGCTCGATGAGCCAATGCGTCGTCTCGAGGAGGAGCCGCTGTTGAGGATCTGTGGCCAGGGCCTCGCGTGGCGACAGGCCGAAGAAGCCAGCATCGAAGTCGGCCATGTCGTGGAGGAAGCCGCCACGGCGGGTGGTGCATGAGCCCGTCTTATTCGGGTCGGGGTCATAGAGTGCATCAATGTCCCAGTCGCGATTCGTGGGGAAGTCGGACGTCACGTCGAGACCTTCGGACACGACGCGCCACAGATCTTCGGGCGAGGAGATGCCGCCGGGATAGCGGCAGGCTATCGACACGATGGCGATCGGCTCTGGGCCATTGGCCGGGGCTGCCGTGTCTGACACACGTGGCGCAGCTAGTTGTGTAGGTCGTGTACCGTAGAGTCGTTCGCGCAGGTATCCGCTGACGGCTGCTGGCGTGGGATGGTCAAACACGACTGAGAGGTTAGAGACACGTGCTTCATATCACATGCATCACATGACTTACGAGTAACTGGTAGGTCTAGTCCGGTTAGACTAGCCAGCCGGTCGCGAAGAACAACGCCCGTCAGCGAGCTCAAGCCCAGCGTGGCAAAGGACTGGTCTGGGTCCACTTGCTCTAGGCCGAGACCACAGCCGCACACAGCCGCGCTCTCTGCGAGCACGAGTGGCTCTACCAGATCGACAGCGAGCAAAGGCACAGCAAGCGGTCGACAGTACGTGCCGGTGCGCCAGAGATCCATCATAGCCAGACGCTTGGGCTTCCCCGAAGCGGTGCGAGGAATAGCATCGACCGTGTAAAAGGCTACCGGCACTTTGTAATCGGGCAGCATGGCACGGCAGGCCTTGAGCAGTACATTCACGTCGAGGCGGGCCTGGGCTTCCGGCACGAGAAAAGCAGTCGGCACCTCCCCCAACACTATGCGCAGTCAGAATATTTCTCCGTTAGTGGAGAAAGTACAAGAGGGGGCCTCACTGTCATGTGGAATACCGGTGACGATGACGTCGGCCACGCCAGGGCTAGTCTGCAGCGGCCGTTCCACCTCGCACGGATGAATGTTTTCACCACCGCGGATGATCAGTTCCTTGAGCCGCCCCGTCACCGTCAGTAGACCGGAACGCAGCCGTCCTAGGTCGCCTGTTTGGAACCAGTCGTCCTCGATGGCTGGCAGTGGAAGCCCACCGACGTCATAGCCGAGCATGAAGCTGGGGGTGCGCACCCAGATCTCGCCCTCTTCTCCGGCCACCACCTCCTGGCTGGTTACCTGTCCGTCGGGATGCACAGGCCGGATCTGCACGTCGATTCCCGGCGCCGGTGGACCACATGTGTCCAACTTTTCATCGTACACAATCCCCGGCCTGGTGGTAGCAATGAGGCCGCATTCGGTTGAGCCGTACTGGTTCACGACAGACACGCCCAGAACGGCCTCCACTTGCTTGCTGAGTCCGGCAGGCGTCCCTGCCCCCGAGCTGATACAAACGCGTGGCCGCAGATTCGACAGAGCCGGTCGAGCCGCAGTGTCGGTGGCCAGCTCCCGGAACGTCGCCGGGGCCCCTGCCAGAATCGTTGTCTCCGGGTGTCGCAGCAAGCTGTCCAGTAACGGTTCGTCGCCCAGAAGATGAGCACTCGCACCCACCGCCAACGTTCCGATGACGCCAAGAGAGTGACCAAAGGCATGGAACAGCGGCAGAGGCCAGAAGAGTCGGTCGGCCCCCGTCAGGCCGAGCGAGGGCACGTAGCTGGCCATGACCGTCCACATGTACGCCCGTTGCGAGGACAGCACCCCCTTGGGCTCACCAGTCGTTCCTGTCGTGTACTGTAGCCAAGCTGGCTCGTCCAAGCCGAGGTCGTCAGGTGCCGACTGCTTCGCTGAGAAGTCCACCCAGTCTTCGTACCGCACTATAACCGGACCCTCTGCGATTTTCTCTGCATCAGCGTCTATTTTGCAGCCTACCACGACAATCATCGCGGCTTTCGCCACCCCTCCGGCCACAGCATCGAGCACACGGCCAAGACGCCGGTCATCCGTGATCACCACGCCCGCGTGGCTGTTCTCCAGTGCCCGGGCTAGCTCAACTTGTGACGACCGTGGGTCCAGTGACACCCCGACAGCGGCGGCCCGTGCGATGGCAATAGTGCTCTCGGCCGTCTCGACGATGTTCCCGAGCACAACGGCCACGCGGCTGCCACGGGTGATGCCGGCATTCACCAGGTGGCCAGCGATTCGACCTGTCCGTACAAGCAGGTCGGCATAGGTGACGACACGGCCTGCCGGTCCTGAAAAGGCCGTCTGCTGTCCACGCTCGACTGCGTGTTGCTTGACAAGGTCCACGATCGAGCTGATGGGGGCCATTTTCTACTTGTTTTGTGAAGTTGTCGTGATAAAATAGGTTACTAAGAACATCGGTTTCTGACGAGTAAGAGTTGTGTTCTATCATTTATATGCTTTTCATAGTCACTGACCCCTATCCATCTCGAGCACTCCCTTTGAATTTCCTACCTTCCGTGCTTACCCACCCCCACCGGCCCCTCTGATCCTCGGCCCCTCTTCTTTCCGGACTGACTCCCTCAACCCCATTGTCGTCCTATACTCGGGGATCAAATATTTTCCATAACTGCACCTACCGGGAGTATCCCTTGAGCTGACACAGCCGTCGTAACGGAAGCATGTACTCCGTGAATATGATCTAATAAGAAAAATAAAAAATCCATACAGGAACGTACTGCGAGCATACGAAAAGTAATCAAATAGGTCTAGCGTTCAAAAACTGTACTATAGCTTATGCAAGTATGCCTTGAAGATAACTCATCAGTCCGGCATTGATTCGAAGATCCAAAGCCAGAGCAGTCCCGACAATCCCGTCCGGACGGACAACAACGACGGCTCCTCTCTCTATGTCGATGCCGTAGATATCATAGCCTGTCTGTGCCAGAGCATACGTTCTCATCTCAGCTTCCCGCTTTATGCAAGCAGGAATCAATGGCCACAAATCATATTCAGCCAGGGGAGAGACGTGCTTCGAAGAGCCTCCATGAGTATAGACCGTCTCAGGGGCTACAACAAAAGCGTCCAAGAATGCTCGGGGAAAAGCCGGGATGACCTGGTCGAACACGACCTGGAGGGTCTGGGCTGAGTGGCTGTGCCGGTCGAGCAGGTCCCGGCCACAGAAGACAAAGATCTTGAAGCCTGCCCCGTCAGGCAGCAGATTATCGTGGAGATCCCACAGACATCCATCGGCAATACGTAGAGCGGTGGTGTTCGGGAGCCGTCGTCCCGGCTTGACCATGCCGCTGTTTGGCGTAAGACCCTCGTCATTCTCGTCCGTGCCGTGAATGACGGCTTCTCCTGCTTGGACGACCACGAGCAGTGATTCCTCGTACTGAATGCCGCAGCCGCTGGTGAAGCCGGAAATGTCCTGGTACAGCCGGACACACTCGTCCTGGTAGCCCGGCTGCTTCTTGCGCTCGCTTTCGGCCCACTGTATGCTGTACCAACGACGGTCCAGCTCGATCAGCTGCTGGGCGATTAGCCGACGCTCGGAGGCGTAGCTCTGCAGTAGGTTCTTAGTGCTAGCAGCCGAGCCATTCAACGCGTGTGTGAGCTTCCAGGCCAGATTGAAGGAGTCGGCCATGCTGACGTTCATCCCCTGGCCAAGCTTCGGACTATGTGTATGGCAGGCTGGATGTGTTAATAAATTCAGCTCGCTGTTATTTTTTTTTTTCAAAAAGTAGTAACTCACCATCGCCCACGAGAAATATTCTCGGAATGTTGCTGGCATCCACTTGGATAAATGCAGATGCCACTCGTTGCCCAACCGCATAGGCAGTAGACCAATCGACCTCTGTTCCTTTTTTGATAATCATGCGGAACGGAGCAAATATTTCGGCCAGTCTCTGCAGAATGTCCTCAACAGTGATACGTGACTTCTTCTGCTGGTTTTTAATAAAAATCGTACTCGTCTCTGCATCCGCATGCTGCCTCTTCAGCTCCAGGTCGTTCATATCCACATAGAAACGAGTCAGCCATTGGCCCTGACCATTGGTCTCACGCGGTATTACCATAGCCATGCCGGCGCTATTCTGGACGGTCGTGAGCCTTCGGATATCCGGGAAATCAGTATCCGTAACAAAATCCACCACGCCCCAGACATGCTCGGTTGAGTCGCCCTCCATCTCCACCCCCATACACCGGCGCACTGTAGAGTGAGCCCCATCTGCTCCGACCAGGAACTTGCATTGGATCTGTCGCGTTTGTACTCCTGCATCTTCACAGATGGTGACCAAGACCGGATAGCTTGCCGAAGTCTCATCTATGCGCACATCGACAACCCGAAAACTGCGCTGGAGTGCATGGTTGGCATGTTTCATCAGATCTTCCTCCAAGATCCGCTCGATCCGGCCCTGGGGAATGCTAATTAGCTGCTTCATCCGCGCATTGGGAGCCAGCGAGATCTTTTGACGCATGACTCGCTCCATTCGGGGCTGGCCAAGGCTCTCGGATTTCTCTGATCCTTGAGCCCATCGTGCCCGCTCGCCAACTTCGGTGGATGCTTTCATGAGCTCTTCATACAGCCCCAGTAGCTTAAACATCTCCAGGGAACGGGAATGCAGTCCATCTGCATGGCCAGCTGCGATGACTTCCAGTCGAGGCTCGACACACAGGATTTGGCTAAGGCCGTTGCGTGCCAAGAGCACAGAGAGTAAGAGACCGGCCGGGCCAGCCTAGAAAAGTCAGCACGAGGATGCAACGACTTTATTGGTGGTCTTACTCCGGCAATTACGACATCGTAAGCCTCGAATTTCATGGTAGTTGCGTTGATAGATAGGCAAAAAAGCTTTGATCTGAAGTGCTCAGGGTTCCTACAGACTGGCAGCGGGCTACTCTGGTTTTTAACTTCGTACAGCCACCCACTTTCCGTGGCCCGTAGTCACTGGCTCCTGCAAAACGTCTTGCTCCTTCCGGATAATATTTATAAGGATGGGTGTCTATTATACTGTCTAAATCGATAGTAACTTTGATTCAACGTCGTCAAATCAGTAGTAGCTTAGATTCTGTCAAAGCGACAGCATCTTAGAACCCAGCTCAGACACCATGTGGTCATATCCCTCTCGTGCCGTCCGAACTATGCGTGCAATCTCCTCCTCCGTAATCGTATACGCTGGGGCAAACATCAAATGGTCGCCAACTACACCGTCTACGGTCCCGCTTCCGGGATAAAGCGAGACGCCGCGCCGGAAACTCTCCGCATTCACCTTGTAGGCAAAGTTGAGCGAAGGTGCCAATGGCTCTTTCGTCTTGCGGTCTCGCACGAATTCAAGAGCCCAAAACAGTCCACGTCCTCTGATGTCTCCAACGTATTCGGCGTCAGCAAATGTCTCCTTCAACTGGCCCCCAAGAAGACGTCCCATACAGGCACAGCGATCCACTTTCCGATCAGCACAGCACGACGAGATTGACGAGAGAAGAACGAGTCTGCTTACCCAGGCTGTCCCGCCGGACCACGCGCTGAACCGCAGTGGCAATGGCAGCAGAGAGCGGATGCGCCTGGTATGTCTGCCCGTGATTGAAAGCCTGCGAAGGTCCTGCCCGGAACCCGTCGCAGACACGTTTGTGGGCAATGATAGCTGCAACTGGGGTATATCCGCCGCCCAGGCCCTTTCCGAGTGTCATGATGTCAGGCACGATGCCCTCCTGCTCGAATGCAAACATAGTGCCCGTCCGCCCGGCACCGCTCATGACCTCGTCGAGGATCAGCAAAATGCCGTACTTATCGCAAATCTCTCTCACGGCAACAAAATAGCCCTCGGGAGCCGTGACACAGCCGCTGGTGGCACCTCCAACGGTCTCTACCACAAAGGCTACAACGGTCTGTGGGCCTAGCCGTAGGAACTCGTCCTCCAGCTCCTTGGCCAGCCTCGCCACAAAGCCAGCCTCTGTCTCATCCGGCTTCTGGTACTGGTACGCATACGCAGGGCTTACGTGGCTGACGCGGCTCTCCAGCGTGATGGGGAGGTATGGCCGGCGACGGGCCACATGGGAGCCTAGCGACAGCGCACCAATGGTGTTTCCGTGGAACGCCTGCTTCCTTGCAACAAAGTTGACACGCTCTGGCTGGCCCTTTTCGACAAAGTAATGTCGGGCCAGTTTCATGGCAATGTCGTTGGCCTCACTGCCTATTAGAACATGTCAGATATCCCATACAAGGTATGCAAACCTAGAAGTCGATGACCTACCGCTGCCAACAAGAAACATCTTCTGCAGGCCAAAAGTGTTTCCGCCCAGGAAAGCCTGTGCCAGATCTTCTGCTGCCCGCGTCGTGTAGGATAGTGGATGCGTGTAGGTGATCTTGCGCATCTGCTCCATGGCCGCTGCAATCACCTCTTCGTTGCCCTGGCCGATGCAAGCAACTGCAGCACCGCCACATGCATCGAGAATCTTGTGGCCGTCACCCATGGTGAGCACATGACCCTTGGAGCTTTCCACAAGCTTGAGCGGCTGCGTGAAGGACCGATGAAAGAGGTAGGTTGTTTCATCGCTGAGAACCGCTGGCTGAACCATGATCACTCCAGAAGATACCGCTGAAGCCATCGCTGTTCAGTTTGCAGGAAAGGCGTATTTACTAATAAGACTGCTTTAAACAACTACTAGACAGAAAAACGGTTATATATATGGTTTACATTTTACACATTTTAACGGCTTGTTTCTCAGGCCGGAAAGTGGACAAGGCTTTGGACCTTTGGAGTACGGAGTATTGTATCTTACAATGTAGGGATACAAGGAAGAATACTCTGTAGACGTTAGTATCATCTTACTGTGCGGGTGGTGTTATGCTGGACGGACCATTTACAGCCCCTGCTTATCAACACTAAAACGAAAGTGGCAGTTCACTAGAAAATCGTCCCGGAAATAGGAGCGATTCCGCCTGTCTGCTAAGGGAACTACGGAAAGTGGGGGATGACGCGGTTCCTGCCTAAAACCTGAAAGTTAACTCTCATTACTTCTATCACCTTTTTGACGCCAGTTTTGATCGTTTCCACCTTCAACAAAGAGTTTCTGACTGCTTACACCTTGTGCACGATGACTACCACGACCACGGCCGCACCTCCGCTGTTCGAGCCGCTCGACGAAATGGGCTGCAAAGAACTTCCAACTCCGGTCAAAGAGCTCACCGGACCGAGCGATACGATCCCATCGGAGCGTGCGTCCGTTGATGCGGGGGATGGGAAGACAAGGTTAGAGGCCATCTCCATTGTTGTCGTCTTGACAGGCGTCACTTTTATCAGTGTCTCGGGAACAGGAATTTTGACCACGGCTCTGCCGCGTATTTCTACCGATATCCAGCTTGACCACAACCTCATCTTTTGGCCGGCATCCGTCTACGCGCTGTCTGCCGGATGCACATTGCTAGCCTTTGGCTCCGTCGCCGACGTTATTGGCTACAAGCGCATGTGGTTGGTTGGCAGCGGTGTCTCCTGTCCTTTGATTCTCGCCTGCGGACTTGCCCGTTCCGGCAACCAGTTTATCGTTTTCCGTGCTTTGTTGGGCCTCTCCGTCGCCATGTGTCTTCCAAACTGCATGTCGCTGGTCACAGCATCCTTTCCGCCCGGAAACAGGAGAAACATCGCCTTTGCGGCAACAGGCATGGGCCAACCCTTAGGCTACGCACTAGGACTCATCCTCGGTGGCGTCTTGACCGACACGATTGGCTGGTGCTGGGGCTTTTACATCACGGCCATTATCGATGCCGTGTTATTTTTAGCTTCCATCTATGTTATTCCGTCCGACAATGACGCCAAGAAACTTTCTAGAGCCTCCTGGCACAGACTGGCCCATGACATCGACTGGGTAAGCGTGGCCATCCTCTCCGTGTCCTGCGGTTTGTTGTCATATGTTCTTGCGTAAGTCTTTTGTCTTTTTCTTTGTACAGCCCACTCCTCTATCCGACTGCTACTAACTATGCCGCCTAGAATGGTTACGGTCAGCTACAAAAATATCTCCCAACCCCAAAACATTGTGCTGCTTGTCTTCTCCGTCTTCCTTCTGCCTACATTCTCCCTCTGGTCTAAGCGGCAAGAAAAGCACGGAGGGCCGGTTTTAATCCCTAACACCGTGTGGGAAAACCTTCCGTTTGTCTCCATCTGCATAGCCATGTTCTTCGCGTGGGCCGCATTCAACGCCTTTCAGTACATATCCACGCTCTTCTTTCAGGACGTCCAGAGCCTCTCAGCTTTGCAAGCGTCTGTTCGCTTCTTGCCCATGGCTGTGGTAGGCGTGCTGACCAACACCATGGCTGCTCATCTGGTCGCAAAGGTCAATGTCAACATGCTGTTAGGCATCCCGGCTGTCATTACTGCAGTGGCTCCTATCTTGATGGCGGTTGCATCGCCTGAATGGACGTACTGGACTGCGGCCTTTATCGCCATGGCGTTAAGTCCCATCAGTGGAGATGGTGAGTTCTTACACCTATACCTCAGTCAAAAAACGCCAACTTGCAAGCTAATGCATGATTCTAGTGTTTTGGACGGTGTCCAACCTCGTCATCAGCCGTGCTTTTCCTGCCAAATCGCAGGCACTAGCTGGCGCCATCTTCAATACTGTCTCACAGTTGGGCAATTCTGTTGGACTCGCCGTCACTGCCGCCATTGCCGCCTCGATCACTGAGCATGATGCGAATGCAAACAGTGAGACAACGGGCCAACTTCTGCAGGGATACCGAGCTGCCTACTGGACCATTTTCGGTGGCATGCTAGTGGTTTGCGCGGCCAGTTTCCTAGGGCTCCGTACCCTCGGAAAGGTTGGCATTAAACAGGGACTGAAGCAGCTTAGCTTAGAGAACAACGACGAGATGCAGTCTACACTAGGCAACGTCTAGCTATATGGGAATTTTTCAGATTGCATGGAATTAACACGTGCTAGAGAAGTTTAAATCTGTATCTATTGTTCACATTAAAAATAGTATCCCTCAATATTACAAGCACATCTTCGACATGCTTACGTTTAAAAAGAATAGTAAAAGCTAAGTAATAAAGGTACAAGGCTACCGCATTAATACTGACGTAATAACTAAAGACCTAATTACTAAGTCTTTTAAAAAGCTTCTTCAATATCGTAACAAAGGTTGGCTAGCAGCAGCCGCAGCTTTTCTTTAAGAAGATGGCCATGGTCATTCACAATTTCCAGGACCAGCTCCTTTGCGTACTGGTAGTTGATTGTAGCCATTAAAGCGCCGGCTGTTCTAACACGTTTGTCTTTACAGACGGCTGTCCGCTCGATTGTGCTAAACCACCGACGCTTTTAGTCGTGAACAGTTTCTCCCTGGTGCTATACATACGGAGTACCATTTCTGAAAGAGACTCTAGAAGCATGTTAGTGTCCCTTCCTACAATGTCTTGCACATGCGGCCGTCCTCGGCCACCGTCCACATCTCGCTACCGACGGCCGTGTGTCCGTACAGCAGGCCGTCGGGATCAAGCACGTTCTTGATGGCCCGCAGCCGGCCGTAGTTGCTGCCGTAGAATGCCTCCTGGAAGTGAGGCCGCTGGAAGTCAGCCTCATTCATGTAGGCGCCGGAGCCTGGCGTGGCGGCCTCGATGACGGGCTGCACCGTGGCGGTGATCTGGTCCTGCAGCGCCCGCATGTCGGAGAAGGGTGCCGTGAAGTTGTAGCTGTACGTCAGCGACGCAAACACAAGGGCGTCGCGCCAGGCGGGCAGCACGGCGTTGGCGCTGCTATTGCTAGTATATAACAATAAAGCAAAGTAAGTAAAAGTATAGGTATAAGAGTATAAGTATAAAAAGTACGTTAAGATAGCTATATAAAAAGAGTAGCACTATATATAAATAAAAGATTAGCTAAATAATAAAAGATGCTTATAAAAAGAAGGGTATAAATAAAGGTATAGTTTAAATAAGTAAGCTAGGTTATATATAAATATATATAAGCCTAGCTAAATAATAAAAGATATTTATTAAAAAAAAGGTATAAGTAAAAGCATAGTTTAAATAAGTAAAAGGCGCTATAGTTACATAATAAGCTTTATAAGCTATAAGAAAAATGTTAAAGGTGTACTTAGGTAGGCTAGGTAAGTCAGGCAGGCAAAAAGGTATCTTCTTAACAGGAGGGAGCAGCCGTATATTTAATAGCTAATTCTTGCCTTCTGCACTCTAAGGGAGTGCGGGAGGCGCTCTTTATCGTAGGCGCACCTCTGGCGCACCAAGTGCGCAGGACAGGCGCGACCCCGTTTCTACTTAGCCCGTACGCTAGCACGTGCTGTAGCCTGTGCGCAGACTGCGCCACGCAGCCTGCGCCACAAGCACCGCTTCTAGTTCACAATGTGCATCTAATACGCTGTGCGCATACTGCGTACGGCTTGCGCGTAGCCTGCGTCGGTCCCCTTCCTAGGGCGGCGTTACAATTGCTCCCCTCCTATGCCTAACTCCCTTAAGGCAGGTCTTGACGAAAGGCTTACAACCTTTGTTTCTAGTGGTAGTAGTGCTTATCCGTTTACAGCGGCCCCTTTGTGCTTGCTAAGATCGCTATTAAAGGCGACTTAAGGCGCCTTTAGTTCCCTTTATTTAAGAGGTTAGTCCTATAGTTAAATTAGATTATTGTAAGGTCTGGCATCCGGTTACTTCTTCTAGAAATAACAAATTCGTCTTCTAGCAGCAACATAGCTGCTCTTAATTCTAACGTTCTTGTGCTTGCGGTAAGCGCCTCTAGCGCTCTAGTACTCGCTGCAGCCTTAGCCTCTACTCCCTAACACCCTTTGCCCTCTAGCTAAGGTGCTAGTTCTAGCCGCGCGCAACGTGCGCGCGAGGCTTACACTAGCCTAGTTTGTTGTTTGGCGCGGACTGCGGCGCGCGCCGTGCCCTTGGTTAGGCCTTTAGTGGCCTGTTAAGGTGCGGGAGCTGCCCTTGCTAGTCCGGCGCTCTTAGGGTTAGTGGCGGCTGCGCTACTAGCTTACCCCTAGGTTGCCTTAGATGGCTTATTGTGCGTGCAGTGCTTGCACTGCTTTCTAACGACTCTTCCTGCAGAGTTGCCTAGGTTTGCGGCTATACTGTGTATTTATAGCGTTGCTAGCGCTAGGCGCTACGACGGCTGCCGTGCTAGCAAGCATAAGTGTTGCAGGGTAAGTTCTTTTTAGTGGCTATAAGCAGCTTTAGTGGCTAATAGGATGCAGGTTTTCCTGCTAATAGTTAGCAACTAGGCTAACTTTAAGATAGTGCTATGCAGCTTTAATAAGAAGCTTTACGGCTAGGGTTTGCCTATAGTGCGCGCAGCACTTGCGCGTACTATAGGTGCTTTTGTTGCTACCTTATTATAGGTAGATAAGTAGTAGCAGCCTACGTTGCTAAGGGTGTTGTTAGCTATTAACGTTATATAGGTAAAGCTTAATCTTTGCTAGGGTATTAAGGCTTAAAAGAAGGCTTAAAAGGTAGCTTGCTAAGTAAAGGCTTAGTAGGCTTTATTAGCTTAAATGTACTTGCTATTACTATATACGCTCTTTTTGTCTTTACTGCCTAGGCTTGCTACTTTGACCTTTTAATAGCTTTTTTAGCTACTATGCTTAATGCCTAGTAATACTAGTTATGTTACTTTTACTATAGCCTTTAATACCTTTCTTAAAGCAGTAGTAAGAGTATATATTATAGATAAGGCTTATGCTAAAGTAGCGGCTAGTATAGCGTTGCTTTAAAGGCTTTTTAAATAGTTTTATATAGTCTTTTATAAAGCTTTTTAGCTAGTTAAATTAATTTAGGCTTTTACTTATATATTTTTATCTTTACGCGCTTGCTACGCATATACTGCTTAATTGTTGCGTATGCATTTTTTATATTTTCTTCTAGCACTTACTAGTTGTATTTAGTTAGCTAGCGTATTTAATGTATTAAGTATTTAGTCTAGCTAGCCTTATGTCTCTTGTCTAAGACTACTTTTACTTTTTATTTGTTGTCTAAGTCTTCTAACGCTAGCATTATTAAAAGCGTTTGTTTTATGCCTACCTTGCTCTCTTAGTGCTTTAATAGCAAGACTAAGAAAACGTTATATAGTTAGCTATATTGTTTTAGTAATGCTAGTTAATATGCTTATCTACCTATAGTTCTAAGGATTTTAAAGGGCCTAATGCGTCTTAATGCTAACTTTTTATTTTTTAAGCAAAAGTTTTTTATAAAAAAGCTTACTAGCTCTTTTACTATAAAGCTTATAGGCTAGTAGCGCGTATTATAGTAACGCTTCTAGCGCTTTATTACGTGCTTCTAGTTTGCCGCTAACCTTTTCTATATAGCTTCTAGTTTTTCTAAGCAGTTATGCACCGCTAGGACTATGTTGCGCGTGTCCTACTTCTCTTTTGCGGTTGCGCCACCTTTAAGGCAAGTTTGCAAGTCTAGTTTTTAACTATATAGCGCTTTAAATAGGCTAATTTTAGTTATTACGTTAATAGCGTTATTGTAGGCGTATTGCGCTAAAGATAACAAAAAAGGCTAATTTAATTGCTTCTTTGTTACAAAGTAGCGTAAGTACTACTTTAACGTCTAATTAGATCTTTTTGTTTGCCTATCTATCTAAGGGTAAAATGCAGTTAATAGCTGCTTATAAATTCTAGTTTAATAGCAATATTTACTCTAGAATTTGCTAGTAAATATACTTTCTTAGTTAAAGACTATACTCTCTAGTATTACACTATACACTAGTTTTATATATTAGTATACAAGGTGCGTAAAGCCTTTAGCCGTTAAGGTAGTCTATATAGTAAAGAAAAGGTTTATCTTTATAAAGCAGTTAACAATCACTAGAATTAAATCTACTTTGCCGCCTATACTTACTTTAGCTACTAGTAGCCTAGTAATTAAGTCTATAAAGATTTCCTACTAAGAACCCTATAGTAGTAGTAGCAAGTTTAGCTTACTATATTACGTATACCGTTTAATCGTCTATCTCTAACAAACTAGGCATAAAGCAATATAAGCCTTTATATTCTTCTTTATTTCTTCCTAGTAAAAGTAGCGACAAAGTAGTTCTAAGGTCTTAGTAACTATAAAGTGCCTAAAGATCTAGTTGTTATAATAAAGCTATAGTAGCTTTTAATAAAGAACGTATGCGCCGCCTATATACAAGCAGTTTTCCTATAGTAATATACTATCTAGTGCAAGGCTTTATAGCTTTGTTGCACCTTTTGCGCTTATAGTGCGCTTTATGCGCGCCTTAATAACTTACACCTCTAGGTCTACGTCTTAGATTCTTACTATTGCTTTACAAATAGCTTTAAGGACTTTATTTTCTTAAAGGTATAAATATAAGGCAGCAACGATAGCTAGTTGCTATAGTAGGCTAGAGTATACTAGGTTCTTATCTACGCTTATTAAGGGCGTTAAACCTTTAATTAGCGCTATAGCGGTAATATCCTTAAAGTTTCCTTAGAGTCTTTTATAGTTGTCTAGCCTTCCTAGTTTACTATGCTTTGCCTGCTTAGGCGGTGCGCTATTTTGCGCTATAGTAGCTTGCTGCGTAAGATCTAAGGCTACTAAGATCTTAAAGGTAGCGCTTAGCTCTTTTTCCTTGCTAGGTTCTTTTGTAGGTGCGCGCATCTTGCGCGTCTTATTTACATAAGCTGCGTTAGTAACTAGCTTAGCGCTATTGTCTTTTACAATAGGTGCGCGTATCTTGCGCGTCTCTTACGCTATAGCTATAGTGCTTGCTAACTATGCGTCTTTTTTTTATACTCTAGTAATAGTTATTCTAACTTATTTAGGTTTATTAAAGTAATCTAGCCGTCTTAACAGCGCATTGGCTAGGTTTGTTACGCTTAGTCTATGCTTAATTATAAAGTTAAAGAGGAATAAGTATATAGCCTAGCAAGCCTTACGTCTATTATACCTTAGCTAGGTTATAAAGGTGCGTAAGTTGTTATAGTTTAACAAGACTTTAATCGTCTTTTTGCTGCTATTAAGGTAGTGTTGCTATTGCTTAAAGAAGTCTACAATTGCTAGTAGCTTTTAATCTAAGGTGCTATAATTTAGCTCTAGTTTTTATAGTTTTCTTAACTAAAAGGCAATTATGTGCTAGGCTTCCTCTTTATCTTATTAAGAGATAATCCCGCTAATAGCTACCTTTAAGGCATTAGTCTTTACGCGTATTGCTTATTCTAGGTTAAAATAGCGTAGTAAAGGTGCTTTTATAAATGCCTCCCTTAATATTGTAAAGGCTGCGCGCTCTTTGCTTCTTAGCTACACTAGTCCTAGCTTTTTGCTATTTTTGCTGCCTTATAGTAGCCCTAACAAAGAAGACAAGATATCTAAGTAAGCTTTAATAAAGTAACAATAAAAGTTATAGAATCTAAAGAAGACTTGCACCTCTTTAAATGTTTATAACGTTAGCTATTTTATAATTGCGCGTACTTTGCGCAGGTTTATTGCAAACCCTTTACTTTTAATAATAAACCCTAGGAATTTAACTTCTTATTAGTAAAACAAGCATTTGTTACTATTAACAAATAACTAGGCTTACTAAAGACGCTTAAAGACCTAGTCTAGGTGCTTTATATACTCCTTCTTATTACGCAAGAATATAAAGATATTGTCTAAGTAAACAATATAGATTATATCTACTAAACTATGCAGCGCTTAGCTAATATAGTAC